TGCAACTGACCGACTTTAATTATCGCAACTAAAACTAAACTTTGACAAGCTTATCGCGAGCAGGAGAAAATTTGCAAATATTAGGTTGTTGCATATGAAATGGCTAATTTCGGAATCTAGTAAATCTGAGATAATTCCATAACATAAAGGTATCACATTATAGCAGTTATGCTGTATCAATTAAAATTTTAAAACTTCATTAAATTGGCTGTGTAAGCACTACGTTCATATTCTTAAAATTAGTTCGAAATGACTAGTTCTCAATTATAGCAAACAATGGCCAAACTCGAAGTAGGAAAAATGAAACACGATTTGATATAAAAGTACTTCAAAATGGCACTTATGGTACTTCAATTTAAAGTTTAAGGTTTAATAAAGATTACTATATAAATGTTTTATCAATATTTTTGATTCGGAGTTATTTAATATTAGACGAACTTCGATTTTCGTTTTATTGAATTTTGGGGAGAATAAAATTCAATTATTATTATTTCTCTGTTTCAATCATTTGTTTTGGTCCTTTCTGGATTTTTAAAATTTTATTTGTAAATATTCTATTTTAGATGTTATATATTTATTTAGTATTAAAATTATTTCTTGTAAGTTCTTGTAATTGTAATTTCTCGTTTACAGATACTTAAAATATAATTAAGAAATATTTTTAGTGTATTAAGTTAACATAATTAAAATTCATATTTTTTTATCAATAAATTCATATTTTTATTTAATCATATCAATATTTAGTTATCAATAAATATGAATTTTAATTATGTTAACTTAATACACTAAAAATATTTCTTAACTATATTTTTAAATATCTCCAAACGAGAAATTACAGTCAAATAATTACAACTATATCCTAAACAAAAATTGAAATAAGAGAATAACAGTAAAAGAATTCTGAAGCATAAAATTTAAATTGACCCTTAATGCCTAAGGGATGAAAACCATATACCCTATTTTCAGCAACAAAACAATAGACATTACTCTATGATATATCTTACAAAATAAAAAAAGAAATAAATCCGGCGAAATTCATCAAATTCATACATTTCCCGATAACATTTCCCTTTGCACGTTTTTCGACGGTCAGCGGTAGACCGCAGTGATTATTCATATAAAATTGTCTGTTTTGCATACGTTTACCTTAGCGAACGTTTTATTTCATCCAACCAGCTGACTTGTATTAACCGAGCGAGCCGAGTTGTTTGCAATCAGGTAGAATAGGAAAAACGCGACGCAGGAAAAGAGCCAACAGGACTTTGCAATTCTGATCGCAGCCTTTTGCGGTCACCAACGGAGCTTAATTTTCCTCGAGCACGTTCACAGGTGCGCTGTTTGCTGGGTATACCGGAATGAAATGGCGGATAGACGTCTTCGTCCAGCAGAGAAACAATGAAATTCCACAACGAGCGGGAGAAAAAAGCGAGCTTTCAATGCTTGCGATCAATGAATGCTAAGCAGCTTATCAATTTGCTGAATTATTCGCTGGAAAATTATGTTCAATGAAATAATGGAATGTATTCTTGAATGGGAATTATTCGGTAACATAGGTTAGTGTTTCATTCTCCAACAGGAAAATTTTTGTTGATTATTCAAATGAAAAATCTTAAACACTCATTTAACGCTATTTTAATTTGTATAAGTTTTTTTTAGGCGGTGGTTCAGGACCCTTCAATTTATTAACAGTATTAAGTATTACATTTTTAGGATATTAGAATTTTAGAGACCCAGGATTCTGGAATTGTGGTATTTGGAAGTTTTAGAATTTTGGAATTCTCGAATTTTGAAATTTTTGAACTTTTGAATTCCAGAATTTGGAATCTTGAAATTTTGAAATTTGGAGATTTTTGAATTTCGTAATTCCATAATCTTGAAATATGGAAATTTTGGAATCTTGAAATTTGGAAATTTTGAGATTTTTCATTTCCGTAATTCTAGTTTCTTGAAATTTGGAAATTTTTGAATTTCGAAATTGTAATGTAGTAAAATTTGAAAATTTGACTGATGACTCCTACTTGATTAGCTCCGTAATAAAATAATTCATCAACACGAAAAAGTTTATTAAAATCTGAAAATGCCAATTAGAAATTTCTCTTTGTAATTTAAAAATACAAGTCCCTACCTCCAAAAATACTTCATTATTTATTTTCATAAACATAAAAAATTCAACCCATAGAATGTTAAGAGACCCCTTTCAGCAATATAAATATGAGACACCCGCTTCTTAAATTCGTCGCGTATTGTTCAGTATCAAGTATTAGGGGAGTGACTTTTATCCGGAAGGAGCCTAATTACATTTAAATTTGTCAAACAAGAAGGAAAGTTGCCTCGGTTTGTAGAAGGAAATATGCTAATGGAAGTATCGTTTTCTTTCGGGTAAAAGTTTCTTAGTTCTCTGGGTTATCGATCTTTCCGAAACGTGCATGTGGATAGTTCTCAAACATTTGAAGAATTAGAACGTTACTCATGTTTTCAGACATACTTCCTGCCTGAAACTTGCATATCAAATAATTGCGTGCATCTCGTGTCGTTGAATTTCTTTTCAACTTTTATCAGGATAAATTACTGGCACGAAAGTATTCCAACAGTTGTATGTTCACAGTTAAAGTATTGGATTGTTCACAAGGTACAATCAAAATAGAAAATTTCAAAAATTCCTCTAGTTGCATAATGAAAATTATTTTACATTAAATTCTATATTCAATTAACATAGAATATTATCATTCGCTAATTTAACCTTTCCATTTCGTACCTTGCGAAATACATAGAGATAATGTTAATTCTTATTAAAATTTGTATAAATTTCTTTCAATTACTGGATTATATTAAATTTGTGATATAGGTCACCAGTGGTCTCCAATATTAGATTATTCAAAAGATTCAATGTTTACAGGAAAATTTAAAAATTTCCTTAGTTGCATAATAAAAATTTTTTTTCATTAAATTTCTTATTCAATCAATAGATATTCGATTTTTTTATTTTCCAATTTCAACTTTCCACTTGATCCTGCGTTATGAAATTAATGTAATATTAATTTAGTTAGAATTTTTTAAAAATTTCTATTAATTAATTGGATTATATTAAATTTGTGATATGGGTCACCAGTAGCCTCCATTCAATGTATTAAACAAATCACGGCTCTTAAATAGTTTGCATCTGCATATTGAATAATGCGACGAGAATATGATAGAATGCGAACTAAGATTGAGAACATAGCAATCCTCGGGAGCAGTCTTGAGAAACTTCCAGTATACTCTGTGCTCGCCTACATTTTCCAGAATTCCTTTCAATTCAAAATGAAAGGGGAACAAGCTCTTCTAACTTCGAAGCTTTTGCCCTTTGTGCGCGAAGGATTTTCATTTATCTCTTTTTCTTCCTCCTTTTAAACGACAGACTAAGTGTTCCAATATTTACACACCACATATTAACGTAGATCTTTTTCTAAGTAGAGTGATGGAAATCTATAATTCGTCGTCGGACTCTCAGAATTGTAAGTTAAACAACATTGGCATAATTAAATAGGAACTAGGTCAGGACTGGATTAAAATTTTTGGGACCCAGGGCTATGAAACTTTCAAGGGTTCCCTTGGTTGGTAAACTTAGTTTAGAAATTAAAATTTATTCTAAATGAAATTTAATATTGAATCGTAAAAAAGTTTTATTTAGCATTTTTTAACATTGTATTGGGGGCCCCTGGAAAGTGAGGCCCAGAGCTGCAGTCTCCTTTAGGTCCTCTTGATCTGGTTCTGGAACAAGCCCACCCTGCCCTTCTCTTTGATAGAAATTATTGTAATAAATAAAAAGCATTTGTTATTTCGTAAAATTTTGAATAAAAATTATGTTACAATTAATCAAACCTTAAATATATGTTTATAAATTATTAAATACTTAACAAAAATTCATATTAAAATTAATTTTATTAAAAATTTTATTTACTTAGTAAATTATAAATTAATTTACAGTTTATTCCAGAAATTATTTACATTTAACCCTTTGAACTTGATTTGTTTTCAACCTTATTGCGGATAAATTTGTATTTATCTTAAGTTAAACTTACAAGTTGTTAGTAAATTAATATCTTTTATAAAAAAAGCATATATTTTACAAAAAAAATGTCATCTTCAGCATTCGAGTTCTATAACAAATTAGTATTGTCATCTCCAACATGATATGTGGTCTCAAAGGGTTAAAAAAAAAATATTTTTTATTGAATAAAGCTCTTCAACATATCTAAATTATAAAAAAATTTAATCTCTAAATATATATTTATGCTTGACAATTTTGGTAGAAATAGAGAACCTAGCCCCCTTTAAATAAAAACCCTAGTTATGCTAATGTGCATCAGCCTAACCATTTAGAATTTACCTACATCTTACCGATACAAAGTACCGTATCATGTTTTTCGCGTTTCTCGAGGGGGCAGAGTCGTTGCTATCCGCGGCTTAGGTAGGTCTACCTACTTCCGTGTAGCCGGAAGCGAGCACGTAATAAGAGGTCTCATCCTGCAGCGACATCAGGAAGCAGCAAAGCGCGACTCTGTTTTAATATGAATGACGTATACGGTTCAATTCCTCGGGGCATTAATAGTTCGAATCGTCGATAATCCGACCGAACGAAACGTCAGCAAAAAGGAGCAGAGAGGAAAAAAAAAATGGGCGCGCGGAGTAGGAAGTAGCGAAGGATGAAAAGGTACGAGAGGGTTGGTAGCGGATCAGAGAGATAGGTTTGATCGAGGCTAGGTCAAAACGAGTGGGGGAGGAGACAAATAGCGAGGGAGAAAAAAATCGTGTGTGTTTGTAAACGTGTGTGTACAACAGGGATGCATGAAAGGGGTGGATAGAACGAGTTGGTCGGAGGAAGCGAAGGGAATTGTCATTCGGTGGAATTGCAATTTCTCGCTGACGCGTGCCGTGCAACCTCCGGCGTGAAGAGTAAAAGCGGACTAATGATGCACACTAGACTTAATGCTCCGTTCCTGTTCTCATTTCCCATAAAGGTGCGAGCTGCCTGCGGGATGTCAGCCTAGAAGTAGTTCCGGAGGTGGTGCAACGTGGTCAGAAGGCGATTCTGCGCTGCCATTACGATCTCGAGAAGGCTCCTCTCTACTCTCTCAAGTGGTACCGTGGCAACAGTGAGTTCTACCGTTTCACGCCAAGCGAGGAACCGACCACGATGATCTTCAACATAACCGGAATTCACGTTGACGTAAGTTTTCACGTTTCCTTCCTTTTACTTTTGTTAATGGGAATTTTTGATGGATGTCAAAATTCTAAATTCAATAAGTTCAATTCAAAAATTGGGACATTGATAGAAACGACAAGTAGACTAATTTCAGTCAAGCATTTTTTTGGGGAGTATACAATTTTTAATATAAGTAATATTTTTTTTAATTATTCCATATAAGCTGTTGGCGAACAGTGTATTTGCCTTTTTTCTGAATCTATACTAACATTTTTGCAATAACTCATATTATGTCTTTCTATAAGTACTTTGTTTTTTAAGAAAATTAATTGAACATTTCACAACATTTGATTAAATTTTAAAACAATTTTATAATAAAATGTGCCTATTTATTACACAACCGACCTAAAGAATGGGTCAGTTAGATCACTGACCATGTGAAAAGGTACCAAACCAGGAATTTTTTCGGATCTTTATCTTTAGAAAAAAAAATAATATAATTTTTAATCAGTAAACATTAGAACATTTAGCATATAATTGAGAAATATAAGTAAGAAGTAAATGTCAATTCAAATTCTCCCACGTAAATGGGGAGACTACAGATCTATATAAGTATATGGGACCTTTTCTCCTAAATACATCGTCAATCTCCTCGGGAAGGGAGAACCATGAACCCCGGAACCCGAAACCTGGAAACCTAAGGAAACCTACCGGGGCAGTCTAGAACTCGAAAATCGGGTGATGCCCTTGGAAGGAGGGGGGATATCACCATTTTTTCTGCAAAAACCTAATTTTATCGCGAGCCTAATTAAATCTATAATCCTTGTAATTTTATCTTTCTTCTTGTACTTACAATTAGCAGCAGATTATGAATAAAATTAGGTAGAAAAGTTTCATTTATTTTCTGCTATAAAATTGCTAATTTTTACATTGGAATAATTAAATAGAGTAAAAAGCAAATTAAAAATCGCTAATCAATTATATTTATACAAAAAGCTGTAGTAAATATATTTGATAATTTCTTGTTTAATATTAAATTGCGAGGATCAACGTCATACGGATTTATCTGATTCAATTTTTAGCTAAAAGTTGTGACCATCACTGGACGTATCTATTTAGTGGTTATTGTTTATAAGTGGATAATGTCAAACACATTTAGCTTCATCGCTTTGATAAATCTTCCCAGTGAAAAAAATATCAAGTGGTTCAGCCTAATTAACGAAATGTTGCTGGGTCAGAGCGTTGATTTCAGTGTAATTTTAGTTATTGGTCAAGTAACAAATTCGTTCATCAGCATTCTCTCTGTTCTTCAATGTCAGCGAAAAATTTTAACCTGGAAATCGCCACATAATTGAAAAAAAGATAATTACAAATTGTGATGAACATTCAGTTTTTGCAAGTTCCTGTTACCATCGATGGGGTTTTAGTTACACAGATCTATACACCCAGTTTTGTAATTGGAGCGTTTTTAGTTTTGTTGGAAATAGAGGAAAAAATTGAAGAGCGAACAATTGAATCGTGTTCCAGAATGCATTTTTTAACGAATTTGCTTGTATTTGTACATATAACACCTAAGTAAACAGAAATTGATTTTTGTGCTCTTTTTTAGAATTTTCTAATTAAGGATGATAAATTAGGACCTCAAAAATCTACGAATTAATTCACAGTTATAGATATAAAATAAACAGCAATGTTTTAATTAGGAAAGTTGTCATGAACTGACACACAATTGACTAGGTACTCAAAATTAACATATAAGACACGTGATGCATAGAATAATACATTAACATTTTTAAATGCATGACAGAATGCAGTATTCAAATTAGAGGTAAATATTTATCTGACAATGGCTCAATTAAAAAAATTAATAGCTTACAATTTTTGGGTAGGTAATCATTCTGAAAGTGATTGGGAAATATAGAACATGATATAATTAATAAAATTAGTTTAAAGTAAAGTTAAAAATCTACACTTTTTTAAAATCAAATTTTTCAGAAACTGGAGCTACTGACTAAAAATTGTTTGTGTTTACTTAAATAAAATAAAATTAACACTTGTCATTAATGATTTAATAGTCGATGCAACATTAAATCTTTATTAAAAACAAAATATAAAATTTTATTGAACAGTGTTAGTAGGGATTAATAATGAACTGGCATATTTAAAATTCTATCTACATTATTAATTCTAATTTACAATGGCTCCTGTCTCATACTAGATCCCCAGATTGAAACATAGATACTGACGAAAATACATCTATATCTCCATTTCAGTGTTTACTTGTTGCCTTTGCAGTTAGAGATGCAAAGCTCTATGCAAGAAACAACACGTTTCAAAACAGAGTGTTGCCCGCTGTTGCTCTGTTCCCTTTGATCTCTGTTTCTCAATGGAAACAGGCGACTTATATCAACATTTTGTTTTTGTCCCTGGCGACAATGAGAAAACATTGAGGAATACATTGGAACTTCTAGAATAGAGATGGGCTTCAGGGCGGTCTCTCAAATAAGGTAATACATTAAAACCCAAACAACCAACTTTGAGTTACCTTCACAACTTGTACTTCTGCAAATGTTAATCTTTAGAAAATGGGTGATACAGTCGAGGACATAGAAGATAGTGCCTTTATGAATTTTTTAAATATTTATAGAGAAATAGAAAACATTAATAGGAAGAATATTTAATGTCAGAGTAAATTAATAGAAAAGGTACCTAGAGCTAGGGATGCCTATGGCTAGGGTTTGCCATATAGCCTTAATAATTAGGCTCGGGATGATTAGGATTCCTTTTAGGCTTAGGATGAAATACTTGGAAAGAAAATTTGATAACTTAAAATTTTATACCTTAACTTAAAATTTTGATAACTTAACATTTTAGTGCCATAGCATTCAATTGATGCTTAACTTTTTATATTTGATCAATTTCTTTATTTTTTATGCGTGTTTTTTGTTTTTTAATCGAATTGGCAAATAGGTGGTTCAAATATAAATAGAGTCCACTTTCGGTATATTGTCACTCTTTATATTACCGGTTAAATAAACTCTCCTTTATACGAATTTTCACACACAGTAGTAATGCTTCCCTACCATTATAACGCACGGAGATCCATATTGTCAATTTCAATTTTCCATACCAACGAGCCCATAACCGGCAATATAACGAGAGTTTACTGTAGTTCAATCAACGCCAACGACAACGCTAACAATTTTAGGTGTGAATGCACCCTCCTAAAAAGCTAGCACTCTTCTATAAATAAAATCGTACCATTGGATCACGTGTGATCCAGCAACCACCATGCGTGCAACTATCATTCGCTACCCCAGGGTTAATTTCGACAACGATCAGCGTAATCAATTGCGCGTAACAGCAGGCAATGTCGCAGACTATTTCCCTTTCCATCCGTTCAGAAACGATCCAAATATGCGGTTGTTATCACGTCGTGCTGGCCCACGCTCGTTAACAGCATCCTTGACCGCTGTAATCGGCGTAAAACAGGCCGCTTTTATCATCGTTCGAATATTTCCGTAGGTAGGCGCGCAACCGGGTTGCACGCAGTTCCGCAGCACGGCGGTTTCGAGGAAACCGAGCTGCGCGCTGCGTTTACGCAACTGAAAACAAGATTGTGTCTCGGACCCGTTGTTGTTTCGGCCTCGAACGAACGATCTGTGAACACCATACCGCGCCGCTTTTACGTTTATCGCTGCACCGCACATGTGACTGCCCTCCGTCGTTCGCTAACTGAGAATAATGTGCAATGCTCGCGTCACATGGCGTAAAAGGTCGAAAAACGTCGAAAAACGTCGAAAAACACAGCAGGAATCGAGAGAAATATCGTCAGTGCATCGTTCGATGCATGTCTCTATGATACACAGGCCTCTGTTCATTTTCCTGGTGTTTGACACCTTCGACTTTTTTGAAGTGATACTGTTCATTCAATTTTATTTGCAATAGGATATCTTTTATTGTATTATTATTTTATATATTCAGAGTATTTTCTTTGATAAAGGCGGAAAGGTGCCCTTTGGTCAGGTAGGATCATATTTAACACTGAGGCTCCTGGATATAAACCATGGTCAGAAGGAAAAGATTCCTGTCATTTCATCAGCAGTGCAAGTAACTTCATCAAAAGATCAAGAATGTACTGGGGGAAAGCCAGGAAAATAGGTATCGATGCATCCTTTGACTCCTGAATAAAGTTAGATGCAATACTGACTAAATGATGGGAATCTTCCCCTTTTAAGTAGACCAAGAAATCTCAAATAATGTTAAAAGTGGTAATGGTAGGCTGAATTTAGATTAGACAAGTGGCTGAGATTAGTGGCCTATGTCAGTACTGAAGGATGAGCAGGGGTAGATTGGCTATCAGGAATTGGGGAAGATTTCAGGTGAAGTGGTAAGGATCTGAGACTTAACACGTTGGGTGCAATGGGAATCACGGTGACTGGCACCCAACTTGTCAGTGAGCCCGTGGGGGGCACCAGTGATCGGCACTGAACTTGTTGGTAGAACCGTAGGGGACATAGGTGACTGGCACCCAACTTGTCAGTAGGGCCGTAAGGGCATATGGCGTCGACGTACCGGCATAAGACATCGCATATTAACAAATTCATATCTCCTTTTTAAATATGCAAACCTTGCAAATTAACAAATTCCGGTCCCTCGGGGAAGTCATGTAATATCGGCGCGGCACCCAACATTTTAATTAATTACAATTAGGGCCTGTCGTGTCAGTAATCTCTTGCTAAAAATTTAAGTCCCAGTCCACCCTTGGGGATGGGAAGATAGTGTGCCTAGGTAGCCTCTCCTTCTCCCTCACTCCTGATTACTGACAAGATCTAGTGACTCAGGCTACTTGCCCAATGTAAACTGAGCCAAAAGTATTAAAATGTAAAATGTGACAATTCAAGTATTGAAAGCCTCAAGATTTTAATCAGAAAAAGTCATCCTAATGGTCATCTTGCAATAGAAAAGTTTGACCTAGTCGAATTCCTAATAACAATATTTTTAATATTCTCCATTTTATTTAGTATCATTAGTGGATGACCATTAGTGAATTACCATTTAAAAATAAAAAACAAAAAACGGAAATTAAAGTTACCTAACCATACAAGGTATTATGCAACCATAAAATAACCTTCGTTGAGTGAATTATAATGGGCCGAGGAAAACGGAGGAGGGGGCCAAAATTTTGTAATGAACAGTTTTACCATGCTCGCCTTTAAGTTTACACCCACTTAACATCTATCGGCCGCATTCTGACAGACATAAATCAACGAAGAAAAAGCTCCTCGCTCTCCTTTCCCCGTTTCTTTCGTCCTCGTTAAAGTCTGCCACCCATCTACCTCCCATCTTTGTTATTGTCTCTTCCACTCTGGTCGAGCTATATTTTCTTGCACCGTTATTTAAATCCCGCTAATTATGCATATTTTGCTTTGCTCGTACCCGACGAAACGTTCCTCTCTTTCTTATTCTCCCAAGGGACGCTTCAGCTCCACCTTCAACGGTATCTTGCTGTGCTGACTTTTGCGCTTGCTTCATCGAGCCAATTTGCTCGAGTGCAGGGTAATTCCTGATAAGATGACAATTTTCTCGAGTGTCGCTCTCGACGCTAGCCGACCGGAAGAAACGTTTAGTAAAAAAGCACCCTTTATCTTGGCCACCCTTGCGTCGACATTAACCCTTGATTGGCTGTACGTACAGTAGAGGGGAACAAATTTTCTTTCTCTTTATTTTTATACGGTTGATACAGAGATTTGCTTATTTTGCCAAATTCAGTTAATCAATATTTCTTATTTCTGAAGAATAGTTAATTGAAGTAGTTTTAAATGGGTGTTTCTATGTGAAAAAATAAATTAAAAATTTGTTCATCTGCAGTTTCGTTTTCGAGAAAATTAAATTTGAAAATTCTTTACAATATTTGTAAAAGTTCTTTTATTAATGAATATAATTAATATTGCTAAAACAATGTTATGACAGTATTGATATGTACAGTAGCGGATTAATGAGAGATCTAAGAGGTGCTATAGCCCCCGGTCCCATTCTAAGCCATTCATTTACTATGTCAAAAAATATTAAACAAAATTTTGTTTAGGTACTGTTGCCTTTTTTCTCTACAATCAGATGTTATTCAATTAGAATAAATTTTAATTTTTTAACCACGTATATCAACTAAGGAGGCCCTCGAAAGTTTGATAGCCCCTGATCCCAGAAACCTTAATTCGGTTCTGAAAATATAACATAATGGATTTAGTCGAAAATATAAGTGTATAGCCTAAGTAAAGAATAATTTATTATTTTACAAAAAAATATATTTATTTCCAGAAAATTGTTACATATAGTAGACTCTCGTTATATTGCCATAGACAGGGCTGTAGAAGTGGAAGCTTCCAAGCTCTCATTTAAAGGAGAAAAGAAAATAGAAGATGGTGGTGTAAGAGCGACACTATTACGATTGAAAATTCATGTGAAAGTCAAACAACTCAGATGGCAATATAACGAGAGTCCACTGTACAACCTTCTAATCAATGTAAAATCTTTCACTAACATGTAACATGTTGCTTTTACTGATCTTAGGTTCAGTTTTTAATATCTGAATGTATCAGGTCATGTCATATCTACCAAATAGACATCTGGAAATTTGAAACATCTGTTTTATCAGAAAGATTTTATTTTACCATCAAATGTACAAAAATATTTATTTATTTCAAAAGAGAGCACAAGTTTATAATTTCAATTTAACATTTTTAATGAACTTTCCATTTTACACTTTGCATAAATGATATAACTATAATGCCATATAACAATTTTTAATATTTTGTCTCCCTTTCATTATTTGACAATTAAATATAAATTGATTTGTAATTCACAGCTAGATGTGGAATTTTAATTGTTTATAAGTTGAAAACTAGAGGTGAACACGTGAAGACAATGAGGTAAAAGCAGCTAACGATTGAACAGATAATTCGAGGTGCAAATTGCAACGTGTAAATTGAACTCTCGTTTAGTTTGGGATTCGCTCGAAATAATAAGCTTTTGTTCGAATATTCTGATCAATCCGTATTGGCTAACACTTTGAAACGGAATCGTTAGTAATAATTTACGTATTACTGGACATATATTCATTCGTGCGGAGATTTGACAAGGTATTGGACAAAGAAGCGGTATGATTAAATTAATACCATTCGCGTTCGTGTTTCTTCAATTAAAAATACGTTTGATTTATGTAGTATTTGCTGTTGGCAGATATATTAAATTAAGCACTTAAAATTTTGAAATTATGAGAAGGATATTTATTGTAGTATCAAAATTATGAATGAATATATAACAAAAATAATAGAAAATTAACCCTTCATTTCATCAGTTCTTTTTAATTTTGAAAAGAAATATAATTTGGGGCAATAAAAAATGTTTTTATTTGAAAAATTTATTTCTTGAAAAATTGCATGATGTTGAACAGTTTCAACATTATATGGAATAAAATTTATAACTACAAACGTTTAAAAGATATAAGAAATTTATAGTAAAGATACTATTTTATATAGCAGATTTGCAACATAACACACTGGGTTCAAACAATTGTGGCCGAACTACCTTTGATTAATAGTCGACTTCACACGTTTTCCGATTTATTGACAAATATGTTTACAGAATTTCGTGAACTTTAGTTTTGGACAGTGTGTTTGCTATTGGTTTGAATTCAAAACCATGGTTCACGAAATCATACAAATATTTGCCAAAGAACCGATAACCGTATGAAATCGGTCGCTAATCAAAGAAAGTTCGGCCACAATCGTTTGAATCTGATGTATGTACAGTGTCGAGCAAAGTACGTTACCCTACAGGAAGTAACGATGCCCCCCACCCAGATGGTCTATCGTTAACACGTTGATTGCCGCAGTGAAAGTGAGCATTTATTATGAAACGTATTGAAGCTCTAATTATTAAAAACAGGAGTAGTTAATTTTTAAATTTCAAATACCAATCTTTTAATTTGGTGCCTTACATTATTAATATAATAGCAATATTATTAAAAATAATATGTTTCTATCGTTTTAATTATTGGAGTACGTGTAATTTGCGATGCCGATCACCGGTAACCCCCGCGGCATTTAACGTGTTAATTCTTATCTCTGTAATTAACGATAAAATAATTCAATATCTAATTTTTGAAATGTTTAAAGTAAATACATTAACAATGAATTTCGATCACAAAATATCAAAGAATTAATATTATTTTGTTATACACATTTTTTTTATTATAAAGCCATAATGGGAACAATGTTTGCAATATGAAATATATATTATATTTGTTGTTCGCGTTTCGCGCGTTGCATGTATCGCTCGAGCGATTACATAGTTTGAATTTGGCGCCGCGAGGGGCGCGAGCGACGAGTCGGCGGAAGGAACGATTCGGGACTGTGATCGTGATCGGTGCTTTGTGTGGATTATACGTCCTGGTTTTTTTGTGCGACTGGTTGGGTCAAAGTTTCATTGTTTTGTTGATATTTGGATGGGTGTCGGTCTGTTGACGGACGTTATTGCAATCGAGCGTGTGAAGCACTAGGTGCTGTCTTTTGTGTTTGCACGGCCCGGCGATCTCTTGGGAGGTTATCAGATGGCTAACTGTGTGCAGTGTCCAGTGCTTATATGGTACAGTTCGGCGAAGTTAGTGCCGCGTGGTTACGGGCACCTTGTTCCCGGTTGGTGGAGAAGCTTCCTGTGATCAGGAAGGGTTGTTTGAAAGAACCACGACAATCTGCTGCGACGTCTGTTGGGCACCATCTGATTGCGATTTATTGTAAGAGAGCTCTCTTGTGTGCATTAATTTAAGTATCGGATGATCATTCAACTGCGTTTGTTCTTAATCTCTAGTTCTTGTACATTTTATATTGATATATTTTGCATTATTTAATTTTAGGCGTTGGTTTAATATAATTTTTTTTGTTAGGGACCAGACTTTTCCTCAATTTTAACTGGGGTTTTTTATAACCAGTACCTGTAGAGTAGAGTCATTCATGTTATCAATATTTGTTTTGCTTTTTGATTCTATTTCATCTGTTTAATTTATTTATTTCCGGTGATACCAATTTCACCTCGTTTCACACCTCATTTTGTTGATGTTCCAAATAGTCAGAACAGTTGTAAACCAGGAACACCTTTGAATAGTTTTGCAAGGAACACAACTCATAGTCCCTTTCCATCTGTACTACATAATTATCCAGAAATGAAACATACATCATACAAGGAACTCAAAGGGCTTCCAAGTTTTAAAATGTTAATACAGCTTTAAAAATGTCTGTAGTTTAAAAGTTTGAAAGCTTTCAAACTCTTTACAAATGTATCCCTCAAAGCAGCTTTGCATTTCAAGGTTTAAAAGGTTCAGGAAGATTTACAAAATCATCACTAATTACTAAGATGTACTGCCCTCCAGCAAGTTTCTCAGTATGATCAAAATATTTACAATATACATATATTAACCCTTAGATGGCAGACTACTATTACAAAAGGTTCATTCATGTCCTTTTAGTGCACTACTGCACTTACTGTAATAAGTAAGCTAACTGTAAATTGGTTAATACATTGACTTCTCAAAGGAACTAGCTATTTTGTGTTAAGAATATTGATGAAATGATTATACAGTTATTTTTACCAGTCTTTAAGCTTCAAAATGATGTACCAGAAATACCATCTTGCGATACTTTTATGTCATTAAATCATGTCAGCTTTTCCATGCTTCGAAACACATCATTTGATGCTCAACAACTTAACACATTTCTAGATGAAGAATTCAAGAATCTTCGTCTAGTTTATTACTTAATGTTTACGTTCGCTTTACGTGTTTTTTGTGATCCTCTGTTTCAGATTGACAACTCGAACAAGAGCCAAGTTACGTTGCGGGATATCGACTTCGCCGTCTCGGGTACGTTCAGTTGCGAAATTACAGCAGACGCGCCGACCTTCTCCACAGCCTCTGGCGAGAAGAATCTTACGGTAGTGTGTAAGTACATGCTTCATGACATTATAGAGTACCGCAGGGAACTTGATGTATTCAGTGTGCTGATGCTTAACACCCGTCCCTCGTTGCTCCACTACTTCTCTTTCCCGTCCACGCAACTCGCGCGTGTATCGCATTCGTAAGTCACCGCGCTTTGAACTACAGGTTGTCACAAATTTTCTGTGCCACATAAGGAATCTTTTCGATTCATACTCTACTTTAACTGAGGGTGTGCGGGTCCTTGAAAGTAACGGGTACCAAAATTCTAGAGGGGTACATGTGCCCGCATGTACCGAGCACCCAAGCAATCGGGTCTGGCCGAGTCGGGTAAAATCGAACGGGTTCTGCGGGTACCCGAACAATCGGGTCGATTGCAGTAGAGTCAAACGGGTTCAGGCGGGTACCCGAGCAGTTGAGTCCGGTAGAATCGAGTAAAGTCGAACGGGTTTGGGCGGGTATCCGAGGAATCGGGTCGATTCGGGTAAAGTCGATCGGGTTCGGGCGGGTACCCGAGCAGTTGGGTCGGGTAGAATCGGGTAGAGTCAAACGGGTTTCGCGGGTACCCAAGCAATTGGGTCGATTGCAGTAGAGTCAAACGGGTTTCTCAGGTACCCGAGTAATTGAGCCGAGCGGGTTCGGGCGGGTACCCGAGTAATTGGATCGGGTAGCATCCGGTAAAGACGAAAGGGTTCGAGCGAGTACTCGAGCACTCGGCTCGGATAAAATCGAATAGATTTGGGCAGGTACCCACACACCTCTAGCTTTAACCCTTTACAACCAGAACCGAATTAAGATTTTTGGAACCTGGGGCTATCAAACCTATCCTTCAAAAATCAAAATTTACTTATTTAATTTATTTTTTTAGTCACTCTGTCTAGAGTAACAATAAAGAAGCGGGTCTTAAATAACCCAGCATGCAAGAATTAAAAGAAAAAATTAAAAATAGATATTTGTAAATCCAGTGTCTAAGCGTATTGTGAATAGTATAGTTCGAAATTATCAAAATTCGAGGATATTTCAAAATCAGTTTGATTCCCAATGTTGCAACGATGACACAGGAAATTAAGAAACACCCCATATATCTACCTAGTCGTTCGTTTATCTGTCCGTACATCTCACGCCCATCTTTAGTCTGCGTAAATTTCCACGGCGCGACATGCAGTTGGCGGGCAAAGTTTCTCCTTGATGGTGTCATTAACCGTTTCGCGTTTGGTTCAAGCTAGTTGCACCCTCGAATCAGTGAATCGGGCCTCGTTGTCGCGAGCGATTCCATCCATACACCTTACCGTTCGCCGTGTGTATGTATATACGTAGGTAAGTCGTGAAACTGGCTCTCGCGTAAATTCCTCGAGTGTTTCTAATTTCCTCGAGTATACCGTGCGAAGATCAAAGGGTTGCTTCTGGAGTTAATCAGTATACCCCGCACGACCACCAGTGCATTAACGCGCTCCTCAATTTCGCGGTAAACGATCGTTTCGTTTATGATTTTCCCATGTTTTTTAAATTACACATTTTAATTGTTATATGAGGGTGTTTCAACTGTTGGTAGTCGATGATATCCACCTTTGTGATATGCAACTACCCGTAGGATTTTCACGCTTCTAATGCATACTAAAAGTTCTTGTATAGGTTTTATAATAATGAAATAAAATTATTAAGGATATACAAAAGTTTCTGTTGTTTTTACGCTCATAGAACACTTTTAATAAAATTATTTGTCCACTTTTGAGAAAATGATTATTTATCTTGGTAAAAAAAATTCATATTCTGATTATTCTTAGAGTAAATATAATTATTAACCAATTATAGAGAATTCAAAAATAATTAATTATACAATAATTGTTAATACTTATGTAATGTTAATAATGTTAAGAATAATAACTCCTTGATTGTCCACTTTGGGAAACGACATATATATATATATATATATTGTTACATGGTATGAAAGTTGATACATTAATTATAATGAACGCACGTGTTGCGCGCTACTGTCGTCGTAGCGGGAGAATGCAAACCGCTTCAATAATTATTTATGAAGTTCCATGAGTTATTAGAGGTATTATTATAAGTGTTACGTCCCGGCGGAAAATTTGAAATTTATCCGCCTTGCGTCCCTTATCAAGCCCTTTTGGGTTACGAGAATCTCTCATGTAAGGGGCGTACAGGCGGGTGTTTCGGTTTTCCGCCAACCTTTCCATTCCTCCTCGACCTTGTACATTCTTGTCAAGCCTTTCGAGGTTACGAGGACTTCTCATGCAGGGGTGTGCAGGGAAGAGTTTGAGCTTAATTCTTTTCAATAGTTTACGTGACCCTCCTTGAAACTATCGTCGCCAGCCATAGTAATAGCTATAGAATACAGTAATAACGCACAAAAACTCGGATTAGCTCGAGAGCGAGAGAGAGAGCCGTAGCAATAACACCAGCGCTACGCAGTTAGCCAGTGCTTCGCATTTCGGGAATTTCCCTTGCTAACTGCGTAGAAGCGGGAAAATCGTAATAACTCTTTTGTTAGAAACCTCTTTCTCACTTTGTTGCACAAAGCGTCAGCCGGTCCAACAAGGACCATCTTTACCTGATTGTAACGATAGTATGAGAGAGTGGATGGATGAAAACAAATTTAAACAATGAAAGTAAGAATTGAGAACCCTTACGAAAGCGAACGTCGCGAACGTTCGACCGCCGTTCGAAAATCAAGGGTCGTTCGAAGCAATAAACACTATTGTATCGAAATTCTAAGAACTGCCTAGCGATAACGACAAATTTTGAACAAAGGAACGTTCGCCAGATTTAGAATTGTTTAAAATTCATAAAATGCGAAATGCCGAATACATCGAGGCGATAGTGTTAATGTGCGATAGATTGCATAATTCGTTACGGCGTTACAACCACCGTAAGCGCATCATCCGCTTTTAAACATATTAAATCATACTGTCTTTTTGCAAATCGGGAATGAATAATTTTGATCATGATGTACGGATGACGGTTTCCTATCAAGACCTCTATATTTCAATTTCAAATCTCATTCTGCATTCCAACTAAACTAATAGTTATATCTCGATTAAATGCCGTTAATTAATTATATGTATAAAGAGAAATACTGCGTAGTTTCTGAAAACCATTGAAACTATCATGGCGACGAATGAGAAAAGGAAGGAACACCAAAGAAAGGGGATGAAAGATCTTCGTCTAGCTCGCGCGTCTTAGCCAATCACCGGGCACGCGACACTTCCGAAAACGGGCTACGATTCGCCAAATCGTCCCCTCCAAGGACGATGTTCGCGCGACGGGCCCTTCGGCCATCGATCGCGCACGAAATTTGTCACTCTTGATCGATCAATCGTTAGGTACGTGATCGGGAGCCCGTGTGTCCGAGAGACAGAGTTGTTCGGAATTCGTGATAGATTTCCTCTGCGGTAAAGTCCTCCGCGTAGCGAGGCAGAGTGCCGTGGTAGTTGAAACATCCGATTCTTAACAAGGATTCACAGACGCGCACGTTAAATTTTCCCTCTACCTAAATTTCTATCATTTCTTTCTTTTTTTAAACCGTTTGCTCGCGCAGTTTTCGTATTAACTTCACTCCGCGTAAATCATATATTGATCGTTTTCGTAATAAATTGTAATTAATCGTAATTCGTTATTCGTTTGTCTCTCGTCGACGTACTCGTCCGTTTTAATTCGTTTCCGCCGCGACAAGTGCAGTGATCAACGTCTTACCGTTTCTTTGGTGTTCCAGATCATCAGGCGAATACAGAGCAATTTAGCAAACGAATATATTATAATCTTGTTTCGTAGTATACAGCGTAACGGTAAGTCGTTTCAATTACATTTTTCGATCACGACGTTCATTGATTGGCAAAACGGACGATCTGGTCCAGCCCTTCAGAGTTACGAGAATTTCTCAGGTCAGATCGTTCCACCGTACGAGGTATCGATATTATCCAATATTCAATATTATTTTTCCGTTTATTACAATTTCGAAATTCTGATTTTTCCATCATCCAAAGGGCACCTTAGTCCAGCTCTTTCGGGAGTTACGAGAATTTCTCAGGCTAGGGTGTACCACGGGCGGAAATCGCCGATTTTACAGCTAAATATAGGAAGCGAAATTGTAATAATCGATTCACGCGACCAGTACATTAATCAAACGTTTCAACTGTGATATCAGAGTGTTTTCATATTCATATATATATATTTTGTTAATTAATTTTAAGCATCTTTACACTTGTACACATTTTTGCAAAACTGGTAATTCTAATTTAACGGAATTTCTAAATTATTGAACTCTTAACTTTGGCATCTCACAGTATTTTTCACTCACAATTAAACCAGTTTCATTTAGTTAAACAGTTTCCATTTATTTCAAACACACCTCACGCATTTCAGCCAAACACGCCTACCAACATACTCAGATTCAAGGAGGGTCCCGTACGGGACCAAGCGTTGAACGAACCCAACGAAAGGCTAATAATTATAATCTTTTAACATCTTATCAATTTTGTCTTTCGTCTTTTAATTTGTCGAGAGCGTTAACACGCTCGAGACTGGTGGCAGCGATACCAACCATCGCGCTAAAATAGGAAAGTAGGTATTGGGGGTTGAATTCCAACCAATTAATTGAAATTTAACCACCTATATCATCCAATTTTTATCTTTCCCTTTTACGTTGCGCCGTCGCACGCGCAATGTAACATAAGTATGCAAAAGTTTTTATCATTTTAAAATAATTTTCTGTATTAATATTTTCTAATTCAAAAAACTGTTCTTAATAAAAATATTTTGCCATTTTGATAATGATTGTTATTGTACACTCGCGATCAAATCAGGCTTCCCTAGGGGAAGAAGGAATTCTTAAAATCTTAATTTTAAAGATATTATTATTAAAAGTAATTTAAAAAAAATAACAATTGTACCATTGAATTATATAATACTTTATAAAAAGAATAGAAGAAACTTGCAAAGAAATTAAAACTTTTGCATAACATATTTTTCTACCGTGTCGGCGC